GTGATGGGTAAATTACAAACAGAATCTAGTATTTTTAATAACCAAATAGTATATGAGGCCACCCAAAAATTGCTATAGGAAATTGGTTCTTGTTTTGTCTACACAAGCTTCTCCATACATTTATGGGACTGCAAAGTGTGAAAACCACTGTAATATTTAAATTAAATGTTACATATTCAAAATAAATGATGTATTTATTACTCACCCAACTGTAAGCCCAATGAAATCGTGAGTTTAATGAATGGGGAAATTACACAAACCTAACCCACCTATCATTTTATGGATTTATGGTACCAAATTGTTTAAGAATCCCTATTAGATAGTGTTCAGTATTGTGGTTTTAATTTGTGCATAGTCATGTAACATCATCAGAGAAGAGAGAAACAACTTAGATCTAAATGCAACCTCCTCTATCAGTTTGGAGAGTGATTAATTTAATAGCTGTCTGGACTTGTGTGAGTGAAGCACATTAAGACTAAAAGTTGGATAAGCAGCTCTGATTCTGCTGCTGTTCACTGAAAGAAGTTGTGAGATTAATCGGGGCCCTCCGGGAGCAGCAGAACGTTTGATGTCACTTCACCAAGCACAGCTGTTTCCTTGGCAAGAGAGAGTGCTAGCGAGGCATTGAGACCCGAAGATGATTTCCATTGTTCACAAGCTGGAGAGCATTCATGCCTTAGGCTTAGTAACAAGGTAAGGCAACAGCAGCAGTTTGGCAGACAAGCTTTGTTTAGCCTGGTGACCAGAGCTTAAAAGTTCAGGTGACCACAATGGAGAACCTCTTGTGGTCACCTCACTGGTGAAATCCAAATTTTTTTACTACCGGTTCTGTGGGCGTGGCTTGGTGGGTGTGGTATGGCTTGGTGGGCATGGTTTGGTGGGCATGGCAGGGGAAGGATACTGCAAAATCTCCATTCCCACTCCACTCCAGGGGAAGGATATTGCAAAATCTCCAATCCCACTCCACTCTGGGGCTGTCAGAACCTGTCAGAACCTGCTGGATTTCACCCCCGGGTCACTTGAAATTCTTGCTTCCATCTAGTGATAATTTGGAGTTTTGCATCCCAGATCTGTGGTTGCTTTCTTCTTTCCCCCCTCCTCCCCCCTCCTTCCCCCTCCTCCTCCATATTTAACTGTTAAGCGTTCCCAATGGTGATCTGTAGCAAGTAGTATGAGATTAATGCCTGTTTAGCTACATGCTGATCTTCAGATAATGAGGACATAATCTGAGAAAGGATGGAATTGGTCTAGTACTTATATTTGTTGCCATTTTCTTGGCTTAAATTAAGACTATGTATGGTTAACATACATATTATGGAATAAAAATATTGACACACAGACATATATCTGCAGTTTGTTTCACTACTTCTTGAAGATACTGTAGAAATCCACCATATGTTAAGATCTATTTCAGAGGTCTTTCTCAGATGGAAGCCTTTAAAACTGGTTTGGCAGGCAAAAAAAGGCCGCCTCAATGTTGGCCAAGAAACTGCACATTTCTTCCAATTGATCAGTTTCTTATTTCATTTGTACACTATAGCTTTAAAAATTCTTTCTTGAAGGCTTTCTTGAATGGTGTTGGTTTTGTGCATTTGTGTGTTAGAATTATAGGACACCTTCTCAGTGTGGTCTACTTGCTTGCTAATATGTCTTGTAGATTTTTCAAATTTGGATCTTTATGGACTTTTGTACATGAGGTCACAGCCCTACAAATGACTTTTAATGTTGCAAATCAGTAGTAAATATTAATATTTTATTTGACAGGCTTTTATGGTGTAATGGTAAATATTGATATTTTACCTGACCTAATAATGTTGGACTCGACATAATTTCTATGTGGAGTGAAATTTAAACCACTGGAACATTATTGAATGCACGAAGGCCCCCTGGCATTCTAGCTAAGAAAGAAAATTAAATGTTGCTATGTAGCTCCTGGAGCTTTTGACTCGGTTTAATGCCTTAATCTTCTTTTCAGAACCCTAGCGTGTAATTTTTAATTATGCCTCCATTTTTGCCCTGGTTTCTTCTACACTGTTATGGAGCATTTGTTCTCAGTTTAATTGTAGCCCTTCTGACCTAACACCGTAATGCTAGGATTAGGAACTTCAGACTCAGAATACCGATGGAATCATCGACCGATTGCTATGCTGGGTGAAAAAAGGATCATGGACCCAGCTGATTATCCATTCTTTTCTATGAATTCCAACTTCACATTTAATGACTACTATAATAATGGATTACTCCATGATTGGGGTGGGTTAGACTAGATGTTCTCCAAGTGCTCGAACCGATTTTCTATAGTTCTATGATTACTGGTTTTATTCTTCCCCACACACTCCAGTGAAATGTGCAACCTGTACCAACACAATGATACGTTGTGAAAACTTTCACATTCACTCAGCCTGGAATGTTTTGCATTGAAAAGTGTTATAGAAATAATCACCTTGTTATTACTCAGAAGCTTTGCCATGACGTTGCTTCTGATGATGTGTTTTCCTGGCATTACAATAACACTTGTCTAATAGTTCTGATTGTTCTGGAAGTCTGCATAAGGCAGCCAGCATCAAGGGGAGGTTTTTTATTTATTATGTTTAATTCATAAAAAAAGCAAAGCAAAAAGAATTGTATGGCACCTTAAGTAAGTACATAACATCTGTCTCAAGCCCAGCTCAGTGACTACATGAGCTACATATCAATTTCTTTGCAGATTGGCAACAATATGGTACAGATTTGCTGCTACCTTGTCCCAGATGTATTTTTAATTTCCAAATCTTGTTATGTACTTCTGATATTTCCGGATGGCCACCCAGCCAGGTTGACTACCAGCTGCCACTTTTTCTGATTGTGCCACTTTAGGTCTAGCACAGTTAATATTACACAAGCATTTGTGAATCATAATCCAAATGCCATGATAGGAGTATTATATCTAAATAGGAGAAGGGAGAGGGAGAGGAAAGTAGGGAATAAGGTAATGTTTTGAAAGTGATCAAATATAAGCAACATTTTTGTCGTCTGTTGAATGGGAGTTGTCCTATGCAAAGCATGAGAACTTGGAATCTGTGAAGATCAAGAACTTCAGAAGACCCAATTAGTCAACCAATCAACTAAAATTGTGAATCTGGAACAAGGGTACAATTCTGGAGGAAGACCTATATCAGCATTCATTTCCTTATAGCTTCTTTTCTTCAAAGATGTTCTGCCTGATAATCCTTTGGAGCATGACTTTTGAAAGGTGTTGCTAGCTAGTCTTAAATCAACAAAGAAGCCAAGAGTGAAAGAGACAGCCACATGATTTATTGTGACTTATTCAACCTCATCCTAGATATATCGAAAGCCATTATCATTGGCACTCTATAACTATTTCTTTCCTTCAGGGTTTTTTGGTTTTTTTAGATATTTCTTGAACACTGTGAGTTATCCTAATTCAACTTCTCTATAGCTCAGCTAATATTACAGACCACAGGTGCTTCGAGACTAGCCTATTCTATATTTTCTTGTTTCATTATATAGAGCTTCATGAACTGTGGCATCCATGATTGCCTTAATTCATACCAGTCCACACTCCCTAGGAGTTCAGATGTGTCACGTGTTAGCCATGCCCATGCCTGGTTTAGCAAAGGGGGGGGAGTCCCGATACGTCATGTAATGCAGCCGTGACACCTTGCGTTTGACACCGCTGCTCCAGAGATTTCAAATGTGATGTTTGTGATGGCAACACTAAAGCCATCCCCCAACTGTTGCAGGACTTTCAGGATTAAGGGATCTTGTGTCTTTCATGGAGAAAAAGTGCCATGGTTCTTAAGGAGTGTTGTCATAAATTTCAGGAATTTTTCTTCTAAAGTTCAAACCAAGAATGAAGAGCTTTGTGGACACTTTCTTGGGCCAGGAGCTTTAAGGCAGTGGTCACCAACTAGTGGTCCGCAAGAAAATTTTGGTGGTCCGCAGAAAAATTATTTGCATTTTTTTATATTGCACTAAATCAGGGGTCCTGAAACTACACCCCCATGCAATGAACATTTGTGTTGCTGCAGAGAGTCTCCCCCTTCGGGGTCTTTTTGTGCGGGTCGGAGGGGGACAGAAATTCCAACTCGGGGTCTCTTCAGCTTCCTGGTGGGGGGCTTTGGGCGAAGGCTGGAGGGAAGCGCCGCTGGTGGCAAAGAGCTGGAGGGCCTTGTTCCAGTGGGATTGCCTCGTGGCCTGGAACTGGCTGACCATATCAGCCTGCTAAGCCTCCAGACGCCGGTACATGGCCTTGCACTCCTGCAGGTCTTCCCTCTGCTTGGAAAGCCTATGCTCATAGTCCTCAGTGAGGTGCTTCTGCTGAGTCTCCTTCTCGGTCAGATCCAACTTGAACTGAGCCGGCTGTTATGCCAACTCACTCATGGTGGCTGTTTAACTCCAACAACTGCTTCCTGTTGGGGCCCCAAGGAGCCTGGGCGGGCAGGGGCTGGGAGGGGAGGGGCGAGTAGAGGAAAGGAGGCCCTCGACGTGAGTGCCCACCCAGTGAGTGCCCACCCAGTCACATGACCACCTAGCCAAGCCCACCCAGCCGGTCATTAGGCAGATTATATTAGTGGTCTGCAGAATTTAAAATTATGAATTTAGTGGTCCCTGAGGTCCGAAAGGTTGGGGACTCCTGCTTTAAGGAACCATTGGCTACATTTTCTTCCTGCTTCACTTCCTAGTTCCCTTACCTTTATCTGTTCTTGTTATTTTCTTCAGATTAATTGTGTTTTCCAGGATTACTATGGTTGTAAGAGCATCTATTTAAACATCAACAGTATCAGATACATATGATTAATGAATCTATACATATTTTGCCTCATAGAGTTTGTACCCGTGTTCTGAACTGAAAAGGCAAGTAAGAAAGGGCTCTTTTTCCATTACAAAGACTGGTCACCTAAAAACCTTCCACCAAGGTTTTTCTTTCAGCAAGAGACTACTGAAAATTGCGATGCAATTTAGCAGCACCCCTTTAAACGCCAAAGGTTTCCATGGAAACTAGAATCTCAGATCAACATGAAAGCCTTCCAGGAATCAGACTTTACCATTAGCATGATCTAAGCATTCTTCACGCCACTAAAAACCAAGCATCTCCTTCAGGTTGTCATTAATACTCATTAAGTTTGTGGGATTTCTGAATTTCTGAATTCCTTGAGCAATAGAAGCATGTGGCTCTCTTCTCTCTCATGGGTATATGTGGGTGTTTTACATACAATAGTAAACACCCACTGTCTGTCCTTTTAGATATTACAGTAGAAGAGAATGCGTTGTTCCCTCTTTAGCAAAAACAATATAAGCAAGGATTGATCTGTGTGTCATTTACTGCAATGTCAAGGGAATAGCAGAACCCAAACTTTGAATGAATTAGCCTCCTCCATTTCCCCACAAAACGGTGTCTACAATGGAGCTACCCTCTCTCTAGTCTTTTGGTTAAGAACCTGTCTCTACCAACTTGCTTGGGGCCCAGAGAAGATGACAGAGCCATAAGGCTATTTAACACCTTGAAGCCCTTTCCCTGCCTTTTATAATTCTGAATTTTAATTAATTTAGTCTTGCTTTTAACTTTTTATTATATTATAATAATAATATATCATTTTAATGTTTTACGTCTATTTGTACATCACCCACTCTATGAGGGAGATGGATAGTCTGAGAGAGGGAGGGAGGGAGGGAGAAAGAGAGAGAGAGAGGGAGGGAGAGGGAGAGAGAGAGAGAACTAAAAATTGTTGAGAGAGAGAGAGACAAACCCCAATTCATTTCCTCCTTATTGGCATATTCAACCTGATTTATTCTACTCAGAACTGAGCACAATATTTTTGGGTTTCTTATATGGCCCCTACTTCTGTCCTTCTTCAGAACTGAAACCAAAAATGAAAATATAGAGGCAGCATATTGCATTCAACAATCTGGGTTCTCATTTTACCAACCTCAGAAAGATGGAAGGCTGAATCAACCTTGAGCCTCGTCAGGATTGAACTGCAGATTGTGGGCAAAGTTTGCCTGCAATGCTGCATTCTGCCACTGCACCACTAGGGCTAAATGTCTACCAAACTTTGCCCAATCTTCTTTTCTGTGGATGTTTTGGCTTCATACCCCATAATGGCTGGAAAATATAGAAGATCAAGAAATTTAACACATCCAACAGAGTTCCAGGTGGAGAAAGGCTGTCTTTAGTTTTCTCTTGGCATCTTTTAAAAGTTAGATTTCTTCTGAGCTGCATTTATGCTCAGATGTACCCCTTTAGAATATTTATTATTGAGAGACTGGCAAATGTAACTTTCACAGCGCTCGCTCACTGACACCTCTAGTTGGTTCTCAAGCTGTCTGAAAACCACAAGCGTTTTGATTCTCCCAAATGCATTGTGAAATCTGTAAATTTCCTTGGCGGTACAGGAAGGTTTGGTCTACAAATATCATTATAGTTAATTGTCCCTTTGATTGACAGACTCAGTTGTCTATTCTTACTTGCCTTAAGGAATTCTGGGATCAGAAATTTTATAAGAGACAATTGCAGGTAGAGTATTGGTTTTTAACCCTGAGGGTAAAGTCACAATTCTTGTTAATATTTTCACATTTAATTTCCTGTATTTTATTTTTCTTTGGCAGAACAAAACATGGGGGCAAAGTAGCAAGTGGCAGCACTATATTTGAATTTGTAATTTATAATTCCTCATAGCAGTTAGTTTATTTCATCCCTGGATAAATGAAACCTAATACGTTTTTCAGCACCTGGTTGTAATAGTCCATGTCCTGTCAGCTGTTCGTCTGCCCCAGGAATCTCTTCACTCATGTCAGATGGTTACTCAATAGCTGAATCTCTGGGTCAGCTTTCACTCCTTGGTTGGCTTCTCAACTTCTTATGAGTGCACAACCATCATTTTGATTTCTGCTAGATGTATTCCTCCTTTCTGCTTGGATCAACTTACAGTTTTTGTCTAAGAAATAGTATCTTATTTCTGATGTCATTACTATGTGCTGTTTTTCTAGCTACATTGACAATTCCAGCATTAGTGATTACAGCATTACAGCTCAGTGATCAAACTAGAAAAACATTCCCTAATCCAACATTTTTATGGTGGTTTTTGCAGCCCTCAAGCTCAGATCTTCAAAAATGGGCCCCAAAAATGGATAGAAGTGAGTGACAGAAAGTGCTTTCCAAGCAAGTCCTTTCTAAGTAAGTTTACGAGTTTGATACAAAAGTATGTTGAATGAAAATGAAGCATGTGACTCCTTGGTGCTGTCTAAGCTTGGTTGTTTTCTTGGAGATATTTCATCAGCCAATAAGGTAACATCATGCAGCACTGATGATGATGTTACCTAGTTGGGTAATGAAATGTCTGCAAATATTCTCTCCTCTTGAAACTCTGGAGTCTTGTGTGAAATCTGAGAGCTCTTTTTCTCTGTTTGTCTTTCAAAAGAAGAGTAAGAATAGTTGGAGGAGAAAATGTTTTTATGCAAAACTTTGACCAAAGTTTATGACCAAACTTCGACTTTGATCTGGCTTTTGCTCTGCAGAGGAAACTACAATGGAGGGATAGAAAAGGGAGCTGACATCAAGGCTGCAGCAAGGAAAAAATGGCAAGAATAGGGAAAGGGATTTACAAGCAGTGGTCTGGAAGAGAAAGTCAAGATTGTGTGACCATTATCTATAGTGGGCTGTGTTGGTTGAGGAAGCACCAAAAGCAGCTTAAAGCCTACCAGTGTTTTACAAACTGCAGGCTTTAAGAGCAATTTTGGAGAAGTTTCTTTAAGCCATAGAAATTCCTTTCCTCTGATGAATAAAAGTCAAAATGAAACTCCCATTTCAGGAGTTATGTGAAGAAAGAAAGCTCATCCTTCTCATTAAAAAGAGGGTTTTAAAATGTTACCAAAGGAGAGGGTTGGCTGATTTCCTGTGAAATTTCATTTTATAAAGTTGCAAACTTCTATAATAGCTTTAATATATGAATTAAATTTATATTGCTTGGTGTATTTATTTCCGGCCTAATCCTAACCTTCATGAAATGATAAATTTTATACAGGGGGTTAGTAGAACTTTATTTATCATTTCAAGATGGCATCAGAAGGCTGGAGAACTGAGGTCATAACCATTAACACCTGTGAGAGAATTTCAAACAGAAGTCTTGAGTCAAATTTGCAAAGGATATAGGAATATAGATGGCTGGATTCACACAACATACTAAAACCAAGTTAAATAATGTGCTGGCCTAGTGTAGGAAGTTAGCACCCACCTCTCTCCTAGAAGAATGAAATATTTTAGGAAATATTTAAAAAGGCAGAATATTATATTTCCCTGGATGAGAAATGAAGAAACATCTTTTAAAGACAAAGAAGCTTTCTGCCTCCCCCCACCTTTGTCAATGGGCCATTAAGGCCTCAGACAAGCTCACTCATTCTCCCCACCTTTGTCAATGGACCATCATCTGCAACACAATAGGACCCATCTAACAATAGAAACTCACCATATGGCACCTGGGAAGATTACATCAGCCAGCAAGGCTCGTTAAGACCCCCACCCCTTGGGATTCTGACAACCAATCAGGATACTCTTCCTGTGCCCCAGGAAGTTCAAAGCACAGAGATGGCATAGAACCAAGGCACACTCAGCATCTCAGCCCTTTTCTGTTCAGGAACTCAAACTATGTGATCCTGTCCACCATTAAACTATCTTTCCAAGCAGTCTCCATGTTTCCAGTGTCTTTTTCCCCACTTGGAACTGAACCCAGATGGATATTTCTTCCAACACTAGAAACCAGGAGGCTGTGAGCTCCTGTAGTCCCACCTTAGGCATGAAAGCTGGCTGGGTGACTTTGGGCCAGCCACTCTCAGCCCAAACCACGTCACAGGGTTGTTGTAGAGAAAGAAGGGGAGGAAGATAATTAAGTACTGTATGTTTGCTGCCTGGAGTTACTAATAAAATAGTAAAGGCAGGATTTAAAAAAAATAGCTAGATAACTAGATAGATAGACAGTTACCTAATTAGCTAGATGATAGATAGATAGATAGATAGATAGATAGATAGATAGATAGATAGATAGATAGATAGAGACAGAGACAAACGGTTATTGTATTGAGGGTAGTGTGTAAAGTGAGTTATACACTATTGTTTATAGGCTTGTGGCTAATTAACAGCCATTTAGCACAATATGTGATCCAACCAGTGTGATATAAGTGAAATCAGTATCTTTGCTTCAGAATTGTTAGTATCTATCAACATTCCAAAACTGTCACTCTTCTTCAGAAAACCGTCATGAGCCACAGACAAAAAAGGGTCAGAAAGTAATTGATCTTGTAAAGATGGGGAAGCAATGAGTGACCCTCTATGTCAGTGTTTCTCTTTGAGATGTGTGGACTTCAACTCCAACATGCTGCTGTCTGGGGGATGTTGGGACTTGAAGTCCACACATCTTAAAATTGCTGAGGTTGAGAAAAACTGATCTCGATATTGTTGAACTACAATTTACAACATTCCTCATTAGTGGCCAGGCTGCCTGGGGCTGGATAGAGTTGTATTTTTGCAACATCTGGAAACCCATATGTTGCCCAGTCTTCATGTAAGGTTAATTGGAAGGACATTTTAAAAATACTGGCTTTAAAGTATGTCCTTGTGGAATTGGGCACTACTTGTTACCTCCTTATAAAATGGCTGTTTAATTAATATTCTTTCAGTATGCAGTCAGTTCACATATCTGTAATTAATGAGTTATCTTGTGATTTTCAGTCAAGCACCAGCTGACTACACTATGTCCAGAGTACTCCTGATAATGAGGAACTGGGGGAAAGGTGTTCTCATCATTATGCTATATGGAAGAATGAAAATGTGCCAGATATTTAAAGGTAGAAAAATATATAGTGGGAGTTTCCCTCTGAGGTTTTCACTTGGAGATTGGAACAAGATTGACAATAACACAGCAAGCTGGAAGAGTTAATGAAGGAAATTAGTGAACGTTAGATTGGGAAGCTGTTATTGCTGTGAATTTTGCTTACATTGAACAGAATCCAGTCTAATTAAAAGCAAATGCAGAGTTTCTAAGTATAGTAGAAATATTTTTAACACACATTCATCTCGCTTTAAGACACATTAGTAGATGTGCAGTCACGAAGATTTCTAAGAAGTGTATATTCTCCATGTAATTTTGAGAAATTATTCTCCTCCAAATGTAGTTTCAAATGCCAGAATTCTCAAATATGCTTTTGTAACCCTATTATCAAGATAGAAATTTTTAAAATTAATAATGGAGCTAATGTAATATTAGAGAGCCAATTTGGTGTAGAGGTTAAGGTACCGGGCTAGGAATTGGGACATTGAGAGTTCTAGTTCCACCTTAGACACAAAGCCAGCTGGGTGACCTTGAGCCAATCACTCAGGAAACAGGCAAGGGCAGACCACTTCCAAAAAAACCTTGCCACAAAAACTGCAGGAATTAGTCCAACCAGTCACCAGGAGTCAAGGCTGACTCAAAGGCACAAAAATAAATAAATAATTGTGTAATATTGGGTATAAACATTTGAATCTCAGAACAGTCTTATTATTCCAATCTGATCCTTGTAGCTGCAACTGTAGAACTGAATTAAGGAAAGCACGATGCTACCATCTCTTGATACTCCTTCCCTAAAAAAAATAAAAAAATAAAAATTGAATGCCGGGCATTTAGTTCAAATAGTTTAACTTCCTAATATGTATGGCGTGATGAAAATATGGACTGTTTGGCAGTTGTTGTTTTTTTACAATTAAGATATCCAACCTGAGAGGGAGGAGAAGTCTTCTCAGGTGGTATAGAGGCAGAAGGTGAAATCCAATGGTGGACTTCTACCTTTGAGGTTGAACTTCTTGTTCTGATTTCCAAGGGGCAAGCCAGTATTGCCTATACTTCCTAAGCTGCTGTCTCCAAAAACCAAACATTATAAACTGTTCATTTTTTGTGGCAGGAAAATCAAGCCTGTAAGATGCCACGATGGTATTATCGTTCTGATTCTGCATAAACCCCTTTTGCTTTCTTATTTTGCTGTCTCATTTTGCTGCCTTCTTATTGGCCAATACTTCTATACTCTCAATCAGTCTTTGTTTCAAGTATTAGACTTCCTATGCAATTAGTAGAAGTCCAGCTGTCACCTCCTAAATAGGGCCTAATAGACTGTTCTTTTCCATTATTAGTCAACTAAATCTCATACCCTGAAGGCAGAAAGAAATTATTTCAGACTTCTTCAGAGTAAATGCAAGATACTTTTCACAATAACAGTGTAATGGTCAATCTGTGTAGTCAGAAATAAACCCGTTGTTTCCGTGGATTTATTCTCTAGTTACCGAACTCCAACCTCATCATCTATATGCATAAGGGATCACCTGGATTCCCAAATCTATAGGTTGCATTGGGAAGTCATAAACAATGCCCCAACAAGCACTGGCCCTAATGTATCATCTGTATCTCCCTATTCTGTGAGATTTACAGTAAGGAAGGTGGATTGTAGATACATTCTGAGTATGTCTATATACAGCTAGTCCATCACTTACGAGCACAATTGAGTCCAGAATTTCCATTGCTAAGCTCTGATATCTTCCAGTCAAGAAGGATTGGGAAGGTCAGAATCACAGAACCCATAGTGCTCAGCTAGGTGATATGGAACAGGTGATCCATTTGAAGTTATCACTAGATAACATTGAGATTCTTGAATATGGGCTGTCTCCTTCAGCCTCCTGCAGAATAGTTCAGCTACTTACATTTTATGATATTTCTGCAAAGTGATAGCACTACAGTGTGGAATAGCGGATAGGTGTTGGACTGGGTCTGTCACATTTCTCAGCCTAATGTTCTGAACATCACAGAATAGTTGTTGTAGAGAAAATGGGGGGGAGGGGGGGCTGTGTATGCTGTCTTGAGCTCCTGAAGAAAAAGCAATGTACGAATCTAGCATGGGTAGAGGATGCACAATCAACTCACATGCTGAATCTGATGTGAAACAATTACTACAGTCCTTCTTCACTCTGGTTAAGGAAGTGCCTTTAATTTAGGGTACAAATGGAAATACGCTTGAACAGTGCTTCACATGGAGGTAATGCTGAAGATATCCAGCTATGGCTTTTTGTACTGCAGGGGAAGCCAACAGCTACAATTATGTATGAATGCTGCTTCATCTGAGTGTGCTATAGAGACTGAGCTGGACAAAAGTAATACCATCAAGAGCATTTTAACAGTTTAAAATGTAATTGCCAAACTTGGGATTTTCCTTGTTGCCCACATAAGAACCAGTTAATGATGATGGCATATTGTGTGTGTAGGTGGAAAGAAAGGAGGGGAGGGAGGGGGAGCGGGGGGGAGGGAGGATGGAGAAACATACCTATGGACAAATAATTGCTATAGAATGCAATAGTTCCAATAATATAATCTTCAGTAAATTAAATAACAAATCTCATTAATTTTTTTTCACAGATATGTTTCTGTATCTAAAATCTCTCTCTGCCTATTGTACGTACCTGAATATTTGTAGTTACATTACAAACAGTACTTGAACCATTAAAAGAAACCATGGAAACTCACAGTTACCACAGAAACATGGGAAGATGTGGAAAAGGAATGTAAGGTTAAAAATTCAGGTTCCTAACACTGGATTCTGCACTCACCAATGCCGAAATGAAGAAAGGGTTTTACTGGTAAATATTCCAAGGGCCTCTTTTGAATATTCCTCTTCCTTCCAGCAGTGCCTCATTCATGGTCACCCTGTATTTCCACAAGGTGGAATTACAAGAGATCAGTTACATAAACCCACAATTTCTGAATATTGTTAATTTATGAGGGAAGGGAGAAAACAGACAATATTATTTTGCAGGATGAATGCCATTCATGCACATGCAGGAATCCAAGGGAATCTGTGCTACACCTAATGGCCTAAGCCAATCTTGAACTTTGTCCCATGTGGAACTACAAATAGACAGCTTTTGGTATCTGAAGGCCACAATTAATATCTGGAAGGGAGTGGAGAGGGTGGTGGAATATGAAACGGGTATGAGATTGAGATAGGGGGGCATTTCTGTTTTTCAAAATTTGGGGGGACAGCTGGGAGGGGTTGTTCTTTATTTACTGTATATTTATTTATATTTATTTGTATCCTGCCTGTATTATTTTTACAAATAACTCAAGGCAGAGAACATATCCAACACACCTCCTTCCTCCTATTTTCCTTAGCTGGACACCCTGTGAGGCAGGTTGGACTGAGAGAAAATGGATGACCCAAAGTCACCCTGTTGACTTTCATGGTTAAAAGGCGGGACTGGAATTGACAGTCTCCTGCTTTCCAGCCTGGAGCCTCACCCGTTGGACAAACTGGGCTCCCATTATATTGAAAATAATGGTGACTCTATTGGAGGGCTTGCGTGTTTTCTGCCTCGAAGAAAGACCAACTGCCAACATAAATTTCTGTAGTAACAGGAGGTTTCTGGGGATGAAAAGCAAGGAGGTGAGGAACAGGGGGACTCACTCTCCAGGGCTGTGGGCAGGAATGGACAGATCGTTTGTAGCAGATGCCTCTATTGTGTGTGGAGATGGTGGCTGAGGCCCGTGGCTGCTGATTAGCTTTGTGAGGCATCTCCAGGCTTGGCATTCTGTGGCTGACAGGCTAGAGTGCCTGGCGATTGCAGGTAGGCAGTTAGATACAGCTGCCTGGCTGAATCTGCATTATGATGAATGAAGGGGGATGGGTACGGTTGTTCTGCATTGAAATGCAGAAGCATGCTAGTGAGCCCCACCCCCCTGCTACCCACTGCGCATTTCCAGCATGCGTTACACACAAATCCAGTTTGCCAATCTGCATGCAGTGCCTTCATTATCCGTGCACAACAGGATTTGGGGCCCAATTTACATATCCAGAAGGGAGGGTAGCCGCTCCTCTTCATTTCTCTGTGAGCCGTAGTTGAAAAGCCCAGAACAGCTGCTCTATTCAAAAGATATATGCCTAATAGCACACAACAGAGTATTACCGATCAGGAATAATTGGAGAGAAAGTTAAACATGCTTAATTTTTATAGAAAAGAATTGCATGCTTTGCTCTTTTTACATTTGCATAATTAAGTTCTCATATACGGGATTCAAATGGTTTATATTAATTTATGTACGTCGTTATCCATCAAAAAGGTAATGCTTATATTGGAAGAGTTTGGATGGATATCAGGAAGCACATAAACTAATCAGTAAATCAGCAATATGTTGTGGACCGCCGGCGGCCTGTGGAGCTGGCAGCAGAGTCAGACAATGAGGAGGTTGGGGAGGAACATGGGCCAGTCCTGGAGTCTGGCTCCAGGCTCGGATGAGGGCTCTGCATCGGAGGCAGAGAAAGGGCCATCTGGGAGGTATGTGCTGCCTCCGGAGCCTCCAGAGTCGGACCTCAGTGAGGCAGAGGAACAGGGGGAGCCTGTTCCTAGTGCGCGCATGCACAGAGCTGCCAGAAGGCAAGAACAGTCAAAACAAAAGGGACGACTTGGGAGCAGGGCTTGGAGTTGATTGGCACCTCCCTTAAGACTTAAAAGAGGAACAAAGGCACATGGGCCTTTGAGGAAGCAACGTTGTTAATTCTGTTCAATTTAAAGTCTGAAGCTCTGTTTGATTCTGGACTCCGTATGGCTTTGCCAATTAGGATTTGGCAGTGTGTCAAGGGAGATAAAGGTGGGTGATTATCAGCCTTATCCTGAAGGACTCTTTACAACTATTTCGGACTCATCTGTGAATGAACAGAATTCACAGCTGTTGCAATAAAAGAGGTTTTTGGGACTACTCCAGTGGTGGGTTGCTCCCAGTTCTGTCCAGTTCTTGAGAACCGGTAGTAAAAGCAGCAGGAGGCTCCGCCCACCTGCCCAGACATCATAAGGTACGATCTGTGCATGCACAGAAGCTTCTGCACATGCCCAGAAGTGCGCACGAGCAAAACAAGTGTGTGCATGCTCCCATTGCGAACCGGTAGTAAAGGTAAGTAGAACCCACACCTGGACTACTCGTCTTTTACTGACTCAGGAAGCCTAGGTCAAAACACAATAAAGTATGTTAAGCAAGATGGAAAGTTAGAAATATTAAAAATATAAGACTTAAATCTCTGCAATCCGAAGTCTAATCGGTAGTTTAATTCAGGGGGATTTACTGCCCGATCAGTATATATACAATTGCTAATTTAAGGGGTTAAAAATATGGCAAAATGTAATACCCCACCACTAAAGATAAAATTTGACTGGCAATGTAATTTGAATTCATTATGTCATTATAAAAGTAGAAAAGAATGGATTCAGATCTATAGTAGTGTAACCTGAAGGAGATACACTGAAATAAGTCAAAAGTCTTTAAAGGATAGGCATGCTTACATCTAGACCCAACAGCATGGAAGGTAAGCTTTACAGCAATAAAAATTCTAGCTGCTATTGAGGTGAATATGGTGAGAAAAATATTACAGAAAAGGTATCTTAAAATATCTTTTTTCCCCTCCTTACAGCAGTAAAGCAGTAAAATGTTAAGGAGCGGAAGCTAACATTATTCATTACTGTGCCACTATACAAACAGTGCCATTCTACTGGGGGTAGGGAAATGATGGGAATTTGTTTTGAGATAAAGAATAGTATGACCCACCTGTCACTTTTAGTCAATGGATTTGGGCAGAGAAAAAATAACAAAGCTACAAATAAAGTTAAACTACAGGAATGATCTAAGGTTTAAAAAAAAATAGGAAAGAACTCGAGCCTTTGCAGTCTCCTATGGCACTATTTATTCTATCCGAGGTATGGATAATGGAGCAACAGTATCATTGAAATGGGCTATGGAGTTTAAAAACTAAGGTGGCAAAAGGCTTCCACAAGAAAAAAGGCACTTATCTCTGTAGGAACAAAGATAGGCCAAGGAATTACAACCAGGTTTCCAGTTTTTTATTGCAGGAAGAATGTACTTATGTCTAGAAGTGGTTAAATGGCTTTCCGATGCAAAAAAAATAATGATAATCATCCTTCTTTCTTGTCTAGATTAAATGAACAGAAATGCAGAAATGGCCTTGATGAAAGTATACACTATACAGGACCCATTAAGAGAAGAAAAATGACAATTCATTCTTGGGAAAGGGAAAAGAAACTCAAAATACCTTGTCACTGATTCTGGCTGATATAAGAGGGAAATTCTGACAAGCTTTGAAAATCCTGCTATTGTATCCTCCAACAATACTGTAGTTTCCCTGTAATTCTTACACTGTCTGTATTCTGGCCTAGCCTATCATGGCGAGGTGACATCTAGCTTTAGTTTATTATTTCAAATCCACTCCATTAATAAAGCCAGAAATTGATTTAACTCTTTTATTATTTCAAATGCACTTCATTATTGGAGCCAGGAATTGATTCAAGTCTTTCCCAGTGTCATCTGCATTTGATAAAAAAAAAATTGAAATTTAAAATTGAAATAGAATTGGAGTAAATTATACAGGTAGTCCTTGACTTATGACTACAATTGAGCTCAAAATTTTCGTGGCTAAGCAAGACAGTTGTTAAGTGAGTTGAGCCCCATTTTATGGTCTTTTTTGCCATAGTTGTTAAGCAAATCACTGCAGTTGTTAAGTGAATCATGCAGTTGTTAAGCGAATCTGACTTCCCCCATTGACTGCTTGTGGGAAGCCAGCTCGGAAAGTTACAGATAGCAATAGCAATAACACTGAGACTCATATACCACTTCACAGCCCTCTCTAAGCAGTTTACAGAGTCAGCATATTTCCCCCAACAATCTGGGTCCTCATTTTACCAACCTCGGAAGGATGGAAGGATGAGTTGACCTTGAGCCTGGTGAGATTCGAACTGCCAAATTGCAGGCAGCCGACAGTCAGCACAAATAGATTGCAGTACTGCATTCTAACCACTGCGCCACCGCAGTTCATGGTAAATGGTGATCACAAGATCCCAGGGCAGGGTAACTGTCATAAGTACATGCCAGTTGCCAAATGCCCGTATTCTGATCAGGTGACCATGGGAAAGCAACGATCATAAGTGTGAAAACTGGTCAGAACTCACTTTTTTCAGTGCCATTGTAACTTTGAATGATGATTAAACGAATGGTTGTAAGTCAAGGATTTACAATGATTCCTCACTCCATAATTCAATTCTCAACAATTTCTGCCTTAGCTGAACCTTAGATAGAGTGGGTGGTGGTGGTGGTGGAGGGAAAACCACATTTAATTGCCCCATACCATTGGACTATACCAGTGATGGCTAACCTTTTCTGGACTGAGTGCCCAAAGCACTCGCGTGCACATGCAAATGCGCTTGTGGCCCCTGCACATGTGTGTGTGACCACTGCACATGCACCCTTGTGCATGCGTATGCGACCACCCGCATGTGCCCCACTGCCCTACTCATGCATGCGTGCCCTCCCACATGTGCCCTGCCTCCAGTGCAGCCCCATGCATGCATCCCATCCCCCGTGCATGTGTGTGCCCCCATATGCGCCCCTCCCCCCGCACATGGGCGGCAGAGACCCAAAGACCAGCTAGCTGGTATGAGGCACACGGGCATGCCAGTGGTGGGTTGCTCCCGGTTTGGCCCGGTTCGGCCGAGCCAGTAGCGGTGACGCTATTACGTCACCGAACCGGTTCTCTTTCTCGGGAGCTAGGCCCTCCTGCCCCCCCCCCCCGTTATTCCAACCTTATTTTTTATTTTTTTTTTCACCCAGCTGAGAGGTGCGGCAGAGCAGATTGCTGCACCTCAGCTGGGCAGATTCGCAACGCGCTTGCACAAAGCGCAAGTTTGGTGAAAAGGCGATTGCGCGCAAAGCGTGCACACAAACAGAACCAGTAGTAAAGCTGGTTAGAACCCATCCCTGGCACACGTGTGGCGGAGCTGAGCTGGGGTGATGGCCTACGTGCCCACAGAGAATGCGCTGCATGCCACCTCTGGCACGCGTGCCATAGGTTCGCCATCATGGGACTATACAAAGCTTTGAAAGGATGCTTCGATCGAATCACCCAATGAAGCAGATTCATGTTTTGAGGAGGGAACTTACTCATTTTAACAAATCAAATCAGCCAACTGCTATGACTTCTCTGCTCTTTAGGGATTCTTTCCGACAACACACAACACAACACTACAATTTCATTTCCAATATGGACAATTTTGAAAGGATGTGGATGTGATGAGTAGCTAGCCAATGAATTTTATTACCTTATTAAACTCTGCTTATGGGTCCACCTTTGGGATAGTAGAACGATGCAAGTTTTAACTTCAGGCTTCATTCACTTTTTCAGCTTTCAACATCTCTATTGTATTCAGCCATAACCTTTAAATTCTGCCTTTTTTCATGTGTTTATGAGAGATTACGCTTTCTTGCTGTTTCTGCCAACATACCTGGGAGTTCAGATCAACTCCCAACACTTTAATATTGGCTGCAGACCAATTCAAGGTTTTGGGTCAAACTTCACTTTTGAGACAAATGATAAAGTTTCCAAGCTGTCTCAAATGTTTGTGCCAGTTTCTCTGAATTTTAATGCATCTGCTTCCTCTGTTAATTAACCAATCAACTAGATAGTTAACCCCAGAGACTGGCAACAGGCCATAATTCTTTTCTATTGAACTATGATTTATCAAACATTCTCAGGTAACTACATTAACATAAACCGTAGGTGCATAGAGGAAAAAAAAGTAGAAAATACAAACAAATCTACTAAAATGAAGATAGACAGGTACTATACATGTACAAATTTACCATATACGTAAAGTAATACCAAATTATCATCTATTGTTGTTGAGGTAAATTTAATAAAATTATGATTCCTGCTTCATTGCGGGTAGTCCTTGATTTACAACCACAATTGAAAGGAAAATTTCTGTTGTTAAGCCAGATAGTAGTTAAATGAGTTCTGCCCGTTTTGAATGACCTTTCTACTTAGTTGACAAATTAGTAGCAGGCTTGTTAAGTGAATCTGGCTTCCTCATTGACTTTGCTTGTCAGAAGGTCACAAAAGGGGATTGCATGACCCCAAGACACTGCAACCATCATAAATACAGGCGAATTTTGATCATGTGACCTTGCAGATGCTGCAATGGCTGTAAGTCACTTTTTCCAGTGCCATTGTCACTAAATGAATAGTTATAAGTTGAGGACTACCTGTATTTCATCTTTGTAATTTTTTCTCTAATATGGCAATGGAAGAGACCTTGTTAATTCACATCTCAATTGTTCTGTTATGTAGAGTTTTCCAGTGTTGAGCAATTATTATTTTTGATGCTAAAATTAAATAAATAATAAGGTCCAGGGGTGAAATTCAGCAGGTTCTGACACATTCTGGAGAACTGGTAGCAGAAATTTTGAGTAGTTTGGAGAACCGGCAAATACCACCTCTGGCTGGCCCCAGAGTGGGGTGGGAATGGAGATTTTGCAGTATCCTTTCCCCTGGAGTGGGGTGGGAATGGAGATTTTGCAGTATCCTTCCCCCTGGAGTGGGCTGGGAATGGAGATTTCGCAGTATCCTTCCCCCTGGAGTGGGGTGGGAATGGAGATTTTGCAGTATCCTTCCTCCTGGAGTGGGGTGGGAATGGAGATTTTGCAATATCCTTCCCCCTGGAGTGGGCTGGGAATGGACATTTTGCAGTATCCTTTTCTTGCCACGCCCATCAAGCCACGCCCACCAAACCACACCATGTCCACCAAGCCACGCCCACAGAACCGGTAGTAAAAAAATTTGAATTTCTCCACTGATAAGGTCCCTTTTTAAGCTTGCAATTTGATCCTGTAAAGAAATGCAATAAATCTAACTCAGAGCAAGAACCAAGTTTGCCAGGCTGCTGTGTTTGCCCTTGTGACACCACCCACAGCCCGTTGATCAGAAGCAGCAAATAACAGCAGCCCTCAAGGATCTATCTGTGGGCATTTTTCAGGGTTATGCCAGCTCTGGAGTTCTACAAAAGTACATAGAAAAGTAAGAACTTATTTTTATTCCACTTTGAAAGTTGTAATTGAAAGTGGAGTAGGAAACTTTTTGCATTAGTTCCTTTAGTGCAACGTAGGCTCTTTATTGTACAGTTTGGTAGCTGCCGTGATATTCTTTCCTCATCTCTGTGATACAGAAGTCCCACCATTTTATTGTAGTGAGACCTTTGAAGGAATCTTGTTGAAGTTTAGCAGGGTTGATCTACTGAAAAAAAGTGTCTCACCTCTGCTATTTCATCCCATTCTGCCAAAATTACAGAAGATGCTGGTATTTTTATGCTTCCCCAGGATAACCTATGAATAAGTCCTTCTCTCTGAAACAATTTCTTCTATTAGCAATAGCCCATTCGACTTATATACTGCTTAATAGTGCTTTACAGCCCTCTCTAAGCGATTTACAGAGTCAGCATATTGTCCACAACAATCTGAGTCCTCATTTTACTGACCTCGGAAGTATGGAAGGCTGATCCTGAACCAGTCAGGATCGAACTGCTAGCAGTCAGCAGAGTTAGCCTGCAATACTGCATTCTAACCACTCTGCCTCCACGGCTCTTACTCATCAATTTGAATTGAACTGATATGCTTCCCCAAAGCTGGGCTCAAAGCTCAGCTCTGACTCCTTTGAATCTTGAATCTTCAGATCAAATCAATACCGATTGGCATGGGTTTCACACTTCATCAATGATTTTTAACTGCCTTTCACGCATCCCTAATTACACAGGAATCTACTGTCTGCAGCAAAATGTAGTGATGGGCACTAGATTGAAGAGGAAATAGACAAATTCATGCCTGTCAATAGTGGTTACTAATCTGGAGGCATTATGGAGCTTCCCAGGATCAGAGACAGAATAGCAATAGCAATAGCACTTAGACGATGGGATTCTACCTGTTCACACCGGTTTGCTGGAACCTGTTGTTAACTTTCTAAGCTAACAATTTAGCTTTCTAAGTTCGGAGAACCAGTTGTTAGAAGAAATCTCCTTTTGGTTTTTTCCACTTTACAGGGTTAATCCTGTAAGGAATTATAACATTCTGGTGTTGTTTCTAGTCTAATCTTTATTGCCCTGCTTACAGAAACTGCCTCTCCGTTAACCCTTATTATATTCTTGGCAGTACACCTAGACTTACTGTCACCTCCGGAGGTTTTT